AGAGAGGAGGAGAGAGGAGAGAGAGAGAGGAGAGAGAGAGAGGGAGAGAGAGAGAGAGAGAGAGAGGAGAGAGAGATGGAGAAGAGAGATGAGAGAGAGAGGAGAGAGAGGAGAGAGATGAGATGAGGAGAGCAGAAGAAGGGGAGAGAGAGAGAGAAAGAGGGAGAGAGACAGAGAGAGAGAGGGAGCGAGAGATATATATACTATGACATAAGTAGTATGCCATTATATTACATAGCACGTAATATTTTATCATATGTGATGTATTGTTACATCATAACAAGTGCTATTATAGTAAATACTATTATATATTGCAAGTACAAAATGAAGCGACTGGACGTTTTCGTTTGCGACCCGGAAAAAAATTGATAAACAGGACACAGACTTATCATCGTGATACGACCCGCTGAGTTCACATACTAGCATCCGAAAAGCACGACGGCAGAGCTGTTGCATGTGAAGTAGCTTGCCCTCTCCACCAGGGCAGGCGTCCACAGCAGGACTCCCTCGCAGACGCCGCACGTGGCTGAGCAACGCTCGTCCGAGTGTTTTGACCTACGCGACGGCTGAAGGTCGAAGCGGCCGGCCGGGCCGCTGGAGCGGATGTGGTACACGCAGCGCGGCGTACTTCAGATCTCTGAATAAATATACGGCGCTCCAAGGCTAATAAAGAACTTGCAGATGGCGTCTGGCGCCAGAACGAATCATAACCCTGCGTTTGCATTCCGAGAGACAGGCGCGCTCGCCGGTCGCAGACGAGCAAGTGGAAGCGGCGGCCGGCCGGGATCCCCTGACCCTGAGGGCTGCAGCGTCGGCCGCCACCACCACATACATGTGACCCCTGATCGGCTCGCTCAGCCGGTGACCGTACGCATGTGGCCTCCTCCGGAGAACGCCCTGGGGCACAATCGGCCAGGTTCTCACACTGAGAACAGAGAGATGTGACCCGTCTCGGGCGGGCGGTTCGTTCGCCCCTGATGTGGGCACGATCATGGCTGCCTACGCGTGGTGGTCCTCTGAAGATGAGAGGGTCGAATAGTTAGCGATATTTGCATATGTAGAGAGCGAGGGAGAGAGAGAGAGAGAGAGAGAGAGAGAGAGAGAGAGAGAGAGAGAGAGAGAGAGAGAGAGAGAGAGAGAGAGAGAGAGAGAGAGAGAGAGAGAGAGAGAGAGAAATCCATATAAATACTTACATATATACACATGCACGTGGCCTGTATCTGTGTGTGTGTGTGTCTGTGTGCGTGTGTGTGTGTGTGTGTGTGTGTGTGTGTGTGTGTGTGTGTGTGTGTGTGTGTGTGTGTGTGTGTGTGTGTGTGCGTGTGTGTGTGCGTGTGTGTGTGCGTGCGAGGGTGCGTGTGCGTGTGCGTGCGCGCGTGTGTGTGTGAGCAATTAGGAATCATGTTATTTGAGCACTGTTCATGAAAGCATCCAGCCAATTCACCGTTGCTTGCCTTCTGTAATGTGCTGACGAGGAACGAAAGAGGGACGTCTGCCAGGAACGATGGTTGCATTCCCAGTCTGTTGTCTTCCCAGTCAGTCTTGCGCACCGTTCGTGGCAGACGAAGGCAGCCGTTGGTGCGGCTGGCTCCCGAAACAACCGACCGTCAGCTGACCGGGGCTCCGGCGCATCGGGGCTACTGGGGGGGGGGGGGGGGAGGGGAGAGGGGGGGGGGCGGAACCCGAGGCGCGTCCGAATACAGGCAGGTCTTGGGCTGGGATTATCTGGCATGATATGAAGAGAAGGGCTTTCTCCCAACAAATGATCATTTCAGGGGCTGTGTGCGTCTTTTTGCAGGTAAATGTTGGTGTGGAAATAGCTGATGCTCATAACGAGAAAAAAGCCACATAGACAAACATTCCATTCAGGTTCAAATCTCAAACGTTTCTTTACTTCTAGTAACAGCTTCGCAGATGGATGAATATGGTTTGCAATGATAGTGATAGTCAATTTCAGATTGAATAATTAGCAGAAGGTCAGGAAAGAACATTACATCTCACCCGCAAAGTTATCATGCCTTCCAAATGCAATTCTACGCACACACAAGACCATGGCTGGTGCAAAACATGCACGATGAGCGTATCAGGAAGGAATCGCGTGGTTACAATTTCAGTCCTAATCGTGGTCCCTCAAAAAGCTGCAGAAGCTTACGAGCATTAACACGCTGATTTTGTAAAGGGTCGATTCGACGTATTAAGATCGCATTTTTCGGCTATGTTGAAGATCAAATCCCAACTTGTGGATACGTGGATGAGAAAGACATTTCAGTGGGTCCTTAACTAGTAACCCCTCTAATTTCAGTAATTCCTAACCGGACTGATTACCACTGACGTCATGTTTGCACATAACACAACCAGCTCATGGTATCGTGTGTACACAGAGAACCCGTGCCGAATTTCTGTTTCATGCTTGGCACATTTGGGGATTGAGAGCCCCGCTGAATTTCTGTTGCATGCTCGGTATATTTGGAATTAAGCTGCACCCGATATACATGGCGAAGTTTAGAACTGCGATGAACATCTATAAGGAACAGACGACTCTTTCAAAACGAGTGGCATTGTTTTGAACGGAAAGGTCCAAACTTGACTGGTTGGACACCAGCGCATAATTTTACTTTTGCTTTTAAACATCAGCTATCCTGCAAAGGGAACGGGAGATCATGAAGAAGCAGATTCACGAACGTGTGCCGTCTCCTCGGCGATCTCTGACCAGACTTCACGGCTCCCCGGCGATCTCTGACCAGACCTCACGGCTCCCCGGCGATCTCTGACCAGACCTCACGGCTCCCCGGCGATCTCTGACCAGACATCATGGCTCCCCGGCGATCTCTGACCAGGCCTCACGGCTCCCCAGCGATCTCTGACCAGACCTCACGTCTCCCCGGCAATCCCTGACCAGACCTCACGGCTTCCCCGCGATCCCTGACCAGACCTCACGGCTTTCCGGCGATCCCTGACCAGACCTCACGGTTCTCCGGCAATCCCTGACCAGACCTCACGGCTCTCCCCCAATCCCTGACCAGACCTCACGGCTCTCCCCCAATCCCTGACCAGACCTCACGGCTCTCAGGCGATCCTTGACCAGACCTCACGGCTCTCAGGCGATCCCTGACCAGACCTCACCCGCCGCCCGCTCTTCTGCTCATCCCTCAGTAATTTATGGACGAGTGCTGGAATTTGTCTGCCCGACCTTGAAGGCCGCTTGGAGGCGGGCGGGGGGGCGGGGGGGGCGGGGGGGGGAGGGTGAGTAACAGAGTGCTGGCGTGCACGGACGGGGCCGACGCCGGCGAGCAGATCAGTGACGCTCCCGCACGCATGCGGCGAGGGGGTGGTGCTGGTGCTGCAACTGTTATCCAGGCGGATACCAGCCGCTGGTGAGTCGGCAATGCCTTGCTATCAGCTGGTGAATTGGTGCTCAGTTCGCTGCCGGCTGGTGTTGGGTTGGTGCAGGACATCCTCTTGATAGCGGGTGGGTTGGTGCAGGACATCCTCCTGATAGCGGGTGGGTTGGTGCAGGACATCCTCTTGATAGCGGGTAGGTTGGTGCAGGACATCCTCTTGATAGCGGGTGGGTTGGTGCAGGACATCCTCTTGATAGCGGGTAGGTTGGTGGAGGACATCCTCCTGATAGCGGGTAGGTTGGTGCAGGACATCCTCTTGATAGTGGGTAGGTTGGTGCAGGACATCCTCTTGATAGCGGGTGGGTTGGTGCAGGACATCCTCTTGATAGCGGGTAGGTTGGTGGAGGACGTCCTCCTGATAGTGGGTGGGTTGGTGCAGGACATCCTCTTGATAGCGGGTGGGTTGGTGGAGGACGTCCTCCTGATAGCGGGTGGGTTGGTGCAGGACATCCTCTTGATAGCGGGTGGGTTGGTGCAGGACATCCTCTTGATAGCGGGTGGGTTGGTGCAGGACATCCTCCTGATAGCGGGTGGGTTGGTGCAGGACATCCTCCTGATAGTGGGTAGGTTGGTGCAGGACATCCTCTTGATAGCGGGTAGGTTGGTGCAGGACATCCTCTTGATAGCGGGTGGGTTGGTGCAGGACATCCTCTTGATAGCGGGTAGGTTGGTGGAGGACGTCCTCCTGATAGTGGGTGGGTTGGTGCAGGACATCCTCTTGATAGCGGGTAGGTTGGTGGAGGACGTCCTCCTGATAGTGGGTGGGTTGGTGCAGGACATCCTCTTGATAGCGGGTGGGTTGGTGGAGGACGTCCTCCTGATAGTGGGTGGGTTGGTGCAGGATGTCCTCTTGATAGCGGGTAGGTTGGTGGAGGACGTCCTCCTGATAGTGGGTGGGTTGGTGCAGGACATCCTCTTGATAGCGGGTGGGTTGGTGGAGGACGTCCTCCTGATAGTGGGTGGGTTGGTGCAGGATGTCCTCTTGATAGCGGGTAGGTTGGTGGAGGACGTCCTCCTGATAGCGGGTGGGTTGGTGCAGGACATCCTCTTGATAGCGGGTGGGTTGGTGGAGGACGTCCTCCTGATAGTGGGTGGGTTGGTGCAGGACATCCTCTTGATAGCGGGTGGGTTGGTGGAGGACGTCCTCCTGATAGTGGGTGGGTTGGTGCAGGACATCCTCTTGATAGCGGGTGGGTTGGTGGAGGACGTCCTCCTGATAGTGGGGGGTTGGTGCAGGACATCCTCTTGATAGCGGGTGGGTTGGTGGAGGACGTCCTCCTGATAGTGGGTGGGTTGGTGCAGGACATCCTCTTGATAGCGGGTGGGTTGGTGGAGGACGTCCTCCTGATAGTGGGTGGGTTGGTGCAGGACATCCTCTTGATAGCGGGTGGGTTGGTGCAGGATGTCCTCCTGATAGTGGGTGGGTTGGTGCAGGATGTCCTCCTGATAGCGAGTGGGTTGGTGCAGGACATCCTCTTGATAGCGGGTGGGTTGGTGCAGGATGTCCTCCTGATAGTGGGTGGGTTGGTGCAGGACATCCTCTTGATAGCGGGTGGGTTGGTGCAGGACATCCTCTTGATAGCGGGTAGGTTGGTGCAGGACATCCTCTTGATAGCGGGTAGGTTGGTGGAGGACGTCCTCCTGATAGCGGGTGGGTTGGTGCAGGACATCCTCTTGATAGCGGGTGGGTTGGTGCAGGATGTCCTCCTGATAGCGGGTGGGTTGGTGCAGGACATCCTCTTGATAGCGGGTAGGTTGGTGCAGGACGTCCTCTTGATAGCGGGTGGGTTGGTGCAGGATGTCCTCCTGATAGCGGGTGGGTTGGTGCAGGATGTCCTCCTGATAGCGGGTGGGTTGGTGCAGGACATCCTCTTGATAGCGGGTGGGTTGGTGCAGGACATCCTCTTGATAGCGGGTGGGTTGGTGCAGGATGTCCTCCTGATAGTGGGTGGGTTGGTGCAGGATGTCCTCCTGATAGCGGGTGGGTTGGTGCAGGAATCCTCTTGATAGCGGGTGGGTTGGTGCAGGATGTCCTCCTGATAGTGGGTGGGTTGGTGCAGGATGTCCTCCTGATAGCGGGTAGGTTGGTGCAGGACATCCTCTTGATAGCGGGTGGGTTGGTGCAGGATGTCCTCCTGATAGTGGGTGGGTTGGTGCAGGATGTCCTCCTGATAGCGGGTGGGTTGGTGCAGGATGTCCTCCTGATAGCGGGTAGGTTGGTGCAGGACATCCTCTTGATAGCGGGTAGGTTGGTGCAGGACATCCTCTTGATAGCGGGTAGGTTGGTGGAGGACGTCCTCCTGATAGCGGGTGGGTTGGTGGAGTACGTCCTCCTGATAGCGGGTGGGTTGGTGCAGGATGTCCTCCTGATAGCGGGTGGGTTGGTGCAGGATGTCCTCCTGATAGCGGGTGGGTTGGTGCAGGATGTCCTCCTGATAGCGGGTAGGTTGGTGCAGGACATCCTCTTGATAGCGGGTAGGTTGGTGCAGGACATCCTCCTGATAGCGGGTAGGTTGGTGCAGGACATCCTCTTGATAGCGGGTAGGTTGGTGGAGGACGTCCTCCTGATAGTGGGTGGGTTGGTGCAGGACATCCTCTTGATAGCGGGTAGGTTGGTGGAGGACGTCCTCCTGATAGTGGGTGGGTTGGTGCAGGACATCCTCTTGATAGCGGGTAGGTTGGTGCAGGACATCCTCTTGATAGCGGGTAGGTTGGTGGAGGACGTCCTCCTGATAGTGGGTGGGTTGGTGCTGGATGTCCTCCTGATAGCGGGTGGGTTGGTGCAGGATGTCCTCCTGATAGCGGGTAGGTTGGTGGAGGACGTCCTCTTGATAGCGGGTGGGTTGGTGCAGGATGTCCTCCTGATAGCGGGTGGGTTGGCGCAGGATGTCCTCCTGATAGCGGGTGGGTTGGTGTAGGATGTCCTCCTGATAGAGGGTTCAGGACCCATTAGCGGCCAGCCAAGGTGCAAATGCAGAGACGCCCAACTGCCGGTGTGGCGCTGGCCGCCTTGCGACTAGGAAGTCCTCAGCGGGCGATGACAGTGTGGCCGGTCGGCATGACAGGTTAGGATCCCTGGCTGCCGCCGTTTTACAAACCATGGCGTACCAATGAAACATTCTAAAGCAGGCTTGTTATTCGAAGCCCTCCTTAATTCTCTGAACCCAATAATGCGCATCTCTCTCTCCCATGGCGACGTTCCCCTCACGTGCCTGTCCCAAGTCCTGTTCCTGATAGCGCCCCCAGCCCCCAGAAGTCCTAATGCTAGAAACGACTTTCGATGTATCGGGTGAACTAAGACACTTTCAGCAGCGCTCTCGTGGCATGATTTCAGGGTCGCTTTGGGACGCCCAGAGAGCGGATTAAGCAGACATGACCCCGGAAGGCGCCGACGTCATGACCGACGCGGCCCAGGGTCAGAAGGGGTCAGCGACCTCTTCCCGGCCCAAGTGGAGTCCTTGGTTTGACGGAAAGCTGGCCGTGGCGGCCTCTATCTTCGGGCCCTACGACTTGCTGGTCTTTCCAATGCTGTTCTACTGGGGTGGTGGAGGTAAGGCTTTTTAGAAACGAATGATGTGAGAGCACAGACCTTTTTCTATGCATATATATTTATGCATGCACTACTGTTGCTTTTTATGTTATCTCACGACGTGTGTCACAGCACGGCTCCAGCGGTCTTGCGACAATGTACGCGCTTGTATGTTACGCTGGATTTTTTGGTGCGCATGTCTTGAGCCTTCGCGGTGTCCATGTTTTCTTTTGCTTTTAAACTTTTGAAAGCAAACATCCTCGACAATCTTTGATCATCTCAAGAAGGTGATGTCGGAGCGGTCACATTGTTCAAAATCACTCGTTATCCACGGGAACATACATAGGTAGGGTGTTCATTCGATAACTGCACGCACGTTTGAGATAATCTGTATATTTGGCCACAATCTGCAAACAAACATCGTTTTAACTGATCGGTAGACAAATGTTGTGGACTCTATTTTAGAGCATGCCTCACTCTGCACGTTTCGGATCTGCCTGGTATCTCATGAGGCGTGCATACACCATGCATACATACATACAGCGCATACATCTGTGCGACGTCACGCATGTTGCAATCGCATGAGGGAATATTTTTCGTCATTTTGCCCTGATTCCTAAGCACCACAGCCGAGCATCCAACGTGAACTGCTTCAGTTTTGCAACTCAATTTCTACCCCGCCGCTTCCGTGGCAGCGCATGATTACCGTGCTGTTAACTGTCAGCAGCCACCACACCAAACGCGCTTTAGTCCGCTGCCAGATATGTCTGGAACCACCGCCCTCGCCTAAAAAAACAACTAAATAAGCCAAACACAAAAAGAGCTATACAGTTGCGCGATGTTAAGTGGGTGACGTGTCCAGGATGCTGAGTTTTTTGTGTCGTAAGCTGACGCTGAAATTTCGGCCGCTCGTGTGAGCATTTTGCGCGTGGCACACGTGTCGTGATTGGGTGGCATGTATTTTTTTAGTGCCCCCTCTGTGAGGCGTATATAAGGCGTCGCGGCCGAGGTAATGCAGTAACAACAATAAAGCACACATAACAAAACCCCTGTTCCCCAAGAGGCCAAAACATTTCATACATAACATTGGTCCGCTTCATCATGCTGCCGTCCAAAGATAAAACCCCATATGTCTATCTGTTGACCATGTTGCGGTTTTTATGTCATCTGATTCACCTGCTTATGTTGAATTCGGTTACCTGAACCATCAGTTGAAATTTTCACAAACCTCTAGCCCTTTCTTTTAGCTAAAAGCTTGTGAAAATTTTAACTTTAGTTTTGAATATCCGAATTCAGCATGACAAGACGAATCAGATGATAAAACACCGCAAATTCTTCCGAAATGAACATGTGGGGGTTTACCTTTGGATGGCGGCATGCCTGTCACCATATGGCTGTTTTTATTATCTAAAATCTATGATGCGATCTAAGTTCTCCAGGTTCAGCATTTGTGCAATGTAGCCATAATCTAAGAGCGTTGTCATTGGCTCCTCTGACGAGTGTGAACTTAACGTTTTTTCAATATTTTTTTTAGTCGATCTTGTTCGGCAGAATTAATGGAGTTACGGTAGTAATATTGAGGATGCCCTTATTTCTGTTTTTTCGGGTGGAAGTTTAAAAATTATCGAGCAAATCAGCAGTCGTGGATCTGCAGCACCCGACTCAAGCGTAGACTAGCCATGGCTGCAGTGAGCTGGTGGCCTCTTGAAGCTCCTACGCAGTTCCAGCCTGGCCATGACCGCAGTGAACTGGTGGCCTCTGTGTCCTGAAGCTCCCGCGCAGTCCCAGCCTGGCCGGAGCTACAGTGAACTGGTGGCCTCTGCCTCTTGAAACTCCCCACGCAGCCCCAGCCTGACCATGGTCGCGGTGAACCGCGGGCTGAGGTGCAGCCAGCGGCTTACATAGTTCAGCATCAACCCCGGTGTCCACGCTGTTCACAAAAAACCCGCTGACACGTTTGTCTCACTGGCTCTACTAACATGGCGGCGCTTGTTGCGCCCTGGAGCGCTTACCGCCCGTCTGCGCGACTGACACATTGACAACGCCGACTAAGCCCGGCTGGTGACACATGGCCACCGCCTACACTGTCGGGCTGAGTGACACTCCGCCGCCGGCTGAGACGCGGACGAGGCTGCCTGCTGTTCCAGGCGCGTTTCTGCTGATTTACCTGCTGTTCGTCGCCCTAATGGCGGTGCCGCTCCTCTTCCTGGAGGTGGGCATTGGCCAGTTCATGGACAGAGGCGCCATGGCAGTGTGGAACATCGCCCCGCTCTTCAAAGGTAAGCACGGCACGGCCTCATGGTCTCTCGGGCGCCGTGTGAGGCGATGATGCTGATGTGAAGCCCTCCGGGAGCCGCGTGATGAAGAAGCCGCTAGCTGGCGCTTGTTTGCAGACTGTGCTCTGTGATGAAGACGCCGCTAGCTGACGCTTGTTTGCAGACTGTGCTCTGTGATGAAGACGCCGCTAGCTGGCGCTTGTTTGCAGACTGTGCTCTGTGATGAAGAAGCCGCTAGCTGGCGCTTGTCTGCAGACTGCGCCCTGTGGTGAAGACGCCGCTAGCTGGCGCTTGTCTGCAGACTGTGCTCTGTGATGAAGAGGCCGCCAGCTGGCGCTTGTCTGCAGACTGTGCTCTGTGATGAAGAAGCCGCTAGCTGGCACTTGTCTGCAGCCTGTGCTTACCAGGCCCGCGCGAATGGTGGTCGGCACAGTGGTCACCACCGTACGGACCACTGCACTGTGGCGGCTGGTTGTTTTCTTTCGTTAAGAGATGGTTAGCAATGGGTCCCCCCGTTCCTCTGGTTATCTTATAAACAATAGTGAAGATTTCAGACAGATTGTTATGAAATCCGTCAAGCGTACAGCGCTTAAGACAAAATTTTGTATCCGTTTTGTTCTGACGGTCTCCATTTTAAACACGATGCTAGGAAGTTCAAAGAACTCTTTCACTGTAAGCGGCCTTTCGGTTGGAGCGGTCCCCACGTGCCAATATGTGCGTGCGTGTGTGCGTGCGTGCGTGCGTGCGTGCGTGCGTGCATGCGTGCGTGCGTGCGTGCGTGTGTGCGTGCGTGCGTGCGTGTGTGCGTGCGTGCGTGCGTGCGTGCGTGTGTACGCATGTCGGGGTGTGCATGTGCGTCTGTGCGTTCGTTTGCTACGCGACCATTCCACTGCGCTTTTCAAAGCAAGGACCCTTCCACGCCAGGCCATGCCATGTCCTTGTAGTTTGGACTTATGACCCCATAGTTCACACAATATGGTCCAGCCTTAAATCTTAGAATGTTGCGGGAAGACCAAACATTGAACAACACATTGATAAAAGCTCGTGGTGAGGAACGGGAGGAACGTACGAGGAACGGGATACACCTTTGTGTCCACGAACACAGAAGTGTTGCTTAAACTGCTGTATCGCAGTCGGTCGGGAAGCGTGGTCGACCCTGAGCGCTGGTGTTTGTGTAGGGCCTCTCCCCGACTGTGTGTTGTGTGGGCGGTGCGCGGCTACGCGGCTACGCACGCTGAAGTGGGACCGGCGAGCAGAATTTGAAATCCCAAGATGAAGAAGAAAGCAGAAATAGCCTTACTCCTCGGAGAAAAATCAGGGGAATGGGGATATAGTTGGGTTGATATTTCGGCAACATGCCTCTATCGAAACAATAGCCAAAGTCTGCTGCCATTGTTTCGACATAATATAATATCAGCCCAACTATACCTCCATTCGCCTGGCTTTTCTCCGAGGAATAAGGCTATCACTACCGTCATATCTATGTGAATAATGCTTCTCGCTAATGCACTGAACAACTTGCGTAATTACCAAGATGAAACCGACGGGCAGTGGGGGGGGGGGGGGGGAGGGGGCACGCCGTCACATCCACCATGGGTAGACATGTGCCTGCTGCGCATGCGCCAAAACACGTGTTTGGCAGCTTTCCCTGACGCGTCTGGCAGCCCGCGGTCGCTCTTACCCTGCGCAAACGGGCTGTTGCGTGAACACAGCTGGTGTTGACGGGTGCTGCCCCGGCCGTTGGCAGGCATTAGTCTGCTGGCGAGAGACCCAAGTCTAGTCGACCCGGTGATGACCTAAGGATGCTTGGTGTACAGTCGTGAATGCAGCATGGCTAATTATTCGACAGCTCCGATCTTCGGATCTCCGATCAGGCAATTTATAGACTAAGACTCTACCCACTAAACTGCGGAGGAGGACGGCTTGCAGAGAGCTGAAGTGGTCCTTCAAGCCCCCGCAGCGCGCCACCAAGCATCTTACTCGACGGAGTGGCGTTCAGAGTCTCCGTCCCAAGTCCCAAGTGTCGTGCGTTGGGTCCCAAGATCATGGGTTTGAGGCTCAGAGCTGCCAAGGGCTTCGGGGCTGTGACACGAGCACGGCAGCACGCGAAACCTCCGCATCTGCTCATCAGGACGGCCTGCCATCTGGCGACGTCTGAAGAAATCACCGGTCGAAAAACGGCACTGTGAAAAACGGCACAGAGAGAGAGAAAACGGCACAAAAAACGGCACAAAAACGCCGTGTGAAAAATGGCACTCGTGACGGGGACGATAAATTTTTTCTTAGAAATTTGATCCGAAAACTTTGAATGGATGGATTTCTGGGATCAGCGCTCACGCTAAGCAGTGCTTGCTGTGTGAGCCCCGACCCCACCATCCCATCGCGCAATTCCAGGCAACGGCACTTACTTGATTACTTATTTGATTTGATTTTATAATTTTAATACTTATTCATATACTGCACTTGATTATGTCTCCATACGGTTCTATCTTCCCGCTCGGCTATGGCGGGGGGGGGGGGGGATGACCATAGAAGCCTTCTCGACAGCTCCAGGCGGTAATCGGTAACCAAGCATTCCTTCAGGGTTTCATTACCTGCTTACTGGTCGGCATGCGGTCACTGGTATCTTTTTAAACTGCGGTGTTGAAGGGTCTGAGTGTTATCGAAAAGTGTCTGTCCTTTTATCCCAACGATGCTGCGTCCCAAGGCAAGGCTCACTAGTTTGTTTCAACCGCCGTGTTCACAGCGGCTACATCCCAGCCACGGGTCTCTGACACGCAGCCTCCCGCAACGTTTCTCATTGCAGGCATTGGATACGTGACAACGGCAGTGAGCGCTCATGTCTTCTGGATCGCGCTCTGGATGTTGACCGTGCAGGGCTTGTTCTGGGTGGACCTGGGTCAGTCGTACGTCCCTTCTCCGGATCTGTGCGGGACCAGCGAGGGTTATGGCACCAACGACAGCTACCCTCCTTGCCAGTATGCAGCAGTGGGTCTGTACAGGTAAGCTGACTTCCTCCGCTAGGTCCTGCACTTCTCCTCCCGTCGACACCAGGGATCACGTGGATGATTGGATGAGGGTAACAATCAGCTGCCAAATGTGGTCGGTCCGAGCATTCATATAGGTGGCATGGATGTTGTGATATCGTTGAGACATGGCGAAATTTATGTACCCGTTCGGCAAACCATTTATCAACTATCAGGATAGAAAGTGCATCGGTAGATGACCAGTATTCATCCACTTTAACTCAGTGGGACCCTACCTACAACAACAACGTCAGCGTCCATTTAACTACCCAGCCACCGCGGTTAGAAACATGCATCAACACGGAACGCTCACTCTGGTCGAACGCAGCGCGATGGCGGACGTCCGATTTTTCGCTGGGAAATGCATGTGTGAGGTGTTCTCTACATTATCCGGCCGTCCACGGGATTATCATGCCGCAATGGCATGATATCATGCCAGATGAGCGGTATCGGTCATCTAAAGAAGCGCTGAATGTTT